CTTTTTAGAAGCGAGCTGCTGAGGCTGAGCGAAATGCTGAGGTTCCTCTGGTATTGCAAATATCCATGGGCCTGGATTAACATCTCGGTGATCCCGGTGCTCGTTTGCATCGAACAAATATTTGTCCAGGAGCTACACTTTATATTGATGACGAATAAAAACAATTATCACGAAACAAGATTTTTTATAACAGAAGGGGCAAACGAGCACCGGGAACATCTAGGTATTCAACTACGCCCATGGACATCAATAATACCAGTGGAAACGCAGATGTGTTGTAACGTCTTTGAGATGGTACAACAAGAAATTAAATTTTTATTGCTTCTTTTATATTCTAGATAGGTGAATACAGATTATATTACGACTATTGTTTATCAGAAAGATACATCGTCGATTTGGCCAATGTTAATCTGAGCGTTTTAAGTAAAATTAATCCAGTTGTTTTAAAGAAAGCTGAAATACTGTGCAGTGTAAGTATTTTGACAATTTAGATAATCATAGATAGCGTCGCGGAGGCGTTATTTTTGTCCGCTTTCCCTTCCTATAATTTTTCTTATAAGGAAAGGATGGGAAGTGGAAGTGGACTTCCCGGATGATAGATACGTGGGAATGGATTTTTTTTTCTTTCTGTGCATCCCCTCTTATTAAAGGTAGTCAACGCATATGCAATTGCATATGTCTATGGGCAACGGTCGCTTAGCTGTTTCAGCGATTTCAGGTTGCCGATAACTTGTTTGCCACTTTTTGATGTGAAAAATTGTGTGTAAAAATTTGTATCCAGGATATTATTGAATATGTACATTGCAAAAGAATTAAATATTTCACTTGAATTTACAGCTTTGCGCTTCTTCGTCCTATGTAATTAATTTGATTTTGTTGCATAAGAGATCCTATTGAAATTTGGTATTTTACAATTAGTCTGGAAGAACACACAGACACACAGGCGACAACTAGTTAGTAATATAACATAAATTATATGTAATTAAATAATTTCTTACAGGAAGGACTTGGTACAAAAATAAAAGGTATACATATTTTAAATGCGCCACCGTACGTGGACAAATTTCTATTCATACTCAAACAAGCGCTTAGAGAAAAAGTAGCTAGTCGAATTCACGTCCACAGTTCATACGAAGACCTTCGACAACATTTACCTAAAGAGATCCTGCCATTGGACTATGGTGGTGATGAGCAATATGTTGCAAAATTAGCTTGTAAGTATTATACTTCCATATATACGTTTTAACAATTCCCCTGAGTCACCGACGCTCCGTGGTTCAAGGGCTAAGCACTTGACTTGTAAACTGCAAGTCCTGGGTTCGAATCCCGCCATGGACCATATTTTTTTTCGATTTACATATTTATTCGACGTTCTGACGGTTAAGGAAATCCTCGTGATGCAACCTGCACATATCTGCAAAGAAATTTATAGATATATGTAAAGTAAACCCGCACTGTACCAGCGTAGTTGACTATGGCCTAGTAACTCCTAACTTAGGGTAGGCTCCGAGCCCCTTAGAGGGGACGAATAGTGAGCTGATGATAATACCTCTTACAAACTAAGAATGTGACATGGAAGATTTTAAAAGTGACTAGGAAATTGATTAAGGAGTATCGGTTAAAATGACGAACATAAGATAGATTAGGAAGATAAAAGTCTATTGTGTAGATCCCACATACTATAGAATAAGTACAGTCAGCTACACAAATATGTATACATTTATAAAGGATCAGAAACTTATATGCGATTTTGGTTTCAAAAATATGTATACACTTATTTATCTGTATGCTTCCGATGATGAATACATCTTATAACAAATACGTGCATGTTTTTGAATTTCTAAACTTTTGTAAATGTATACAAATTAATGCAGCTGATTGTACATGGAGATGACTTAAAAAACTAGAAGGCGTCTGTTTTAGTTAGAATATAGTCCAGAAGTCATGGAAAAGAAGTCATAAGTATTTTGTTCTACTCACTGTTGGTCCAACGCAGTTTATTGGAACAATAACTTTGCTACAATATTATTTATTATTGTTTTATTTTTATATGTGTGTGAAAAAGGAAGTAAGAAGAATTATTTTCGTCAAATCAAATATTAATATTGATATATCATCCCGCTCGGGCTTGTATCTTCACTAACCACTTGAGTGGAGTTGTATTTGCGTTGGAACGTAAATTATAGGAATTCTAACATTGGAGGATGTACGTAATATTATTACAAAGTACTTAGGAAGTCTCACAACTAATAAATATAAGTTAATATTGCTATACTATTTGGAAATAGATTCGAGAAAAGTTTGTTTCGATTACTTACTGTTATCTCTGTTTTATTTATAGAAAATGAGAGAGATAACAATGTTTTTAACACATTCTATTCACACTTTCCTCTTGTAATCATTCAAGCGACTAAAAAGTCTGCGTATCGGAGGCCTAATTTTATCCAGGTTCCTATCCCATCCTTTCCTTTATGGAAATGATGCGAATGTTTTTTTTTAGCGCAATGGAGAGAAGAACTCACTACTGAGAAAGCAAGGAAAATAATAAAAGATATGGATAAGTTGGTGAGCGATGAAACCAAACGGACTAGTTCTAAATTCAACGAAGAATACATGGGAATGCCGGGATCATTTAGAAAATTGACAGTCGATTAATTAGTATACAATTATATTTAAATACTTATAATAAATTAATGTAAATAAACTACAATTTCATTTTGTTATGTATATAAACTTTATACTATGTAATAAACTTAAATTGAAAAAATTGGTCTATTTTAAATAGAATGTATAAAAACTGGTGATTGTAAGTTAACATTTGAGTGCTTATAAAGTTATAAAGAAGGTATTAGGTAATAAGGTTAAGGAAACAAATTGGATATATATTAATAAAAAATATTAAACTATTTAGTTTCATTTTAATAATCCTAAACCTTTATTTACGACTAAGGTTCGTACATAAAATAAATCTTTGGAAACCGACGATTTCAGTCGTTAAGCGACATGGATACGATGTCATAGAAGTTCGTTTACAGCTGAAATTTCTATCTCTCATAGCCAAAGATAGTTCGCAACCTATTTGTCAAGATCTAAGATTAGTAGCGAATGATCGTGGCACAAAGCAAATCTTGGTCTAGCGTTGGTTTCGATATTCCAAAAAAAAAGAAAAAAATCGTCATCGTAGTTTGTCAAACAATTTTGAAAGTAATTTTATCACAAATAAAATCTATGTTTTCTAAAATCGATTTATTAATTTCTCGTTTCTTTTCAAGTCTGTGAATTTTGAATATTTTTTGTGTATATCGTCTTTACGCTTTGTAGCAACGTTTTGTTCGAGAGGTCTTTGTATTAGTAAGATTTTTTATGTCCACTAATTACGTTTAATTGGAAGATTTAAACAAGGCTCATTTAACAGGTTTAGTACATGAAATGATCTCCTAATTAATATCATTATGTCGGCATCAAAATTCAAATAATATTTAATTATTTTAAACTTGTGTACCAAAACAACGGCATCATTATTTATCTCGTCATTCTATTTTGGGTTAAATTGTGAACGAGAATTTTGTGACCGAAAAATAAAATTATCCTAAACCAGCTTTCTTTTTTTTTATAACATAAGGCGGCAAACGAGCGAGCGGCCACCTGAAATCGCTAAAATAGCGAAGTGACCGTTGCCCATAGACATACGCAATAGCATATGCGTTGCCTACCTTTAATCGACGGAGAAGAGGATGCACAGAAAGAAAATATTTTCCCTTCCCATGGATCCTCTCATCCGAAAAGTCCACTTCACTGTAAGAAAAAGGTTAGGAAGGGAAAGAGGACTAAATTAGGCCTCCGGGACACACACACATCAGACGCAACGCGAAATTGCTTCCACTTCACGCCTGTCTTCTTTGTGGTCATGGTATTTCACCGGGCGAACGGGACCGCTTCGTGCGAATATGTTAAAGCGGACTCTACCACTGTTAAAGCTTTCGCCCGCGACTCCGTGTTCTTCCAGATTATGTTCTATATTAATGCCAAATTTCATCGATATCCGTTGAGCAGTTAGCAGAGGAGATAACTACAAAGACACATCCATCCTTTTATTCATCCATCTATACCTACACATTTATAATATTAGTAAGAAATAAGATGAAGCGAAAAGGGTTCTTGTTTCTTTTTTAAAAAATATTATAGTTAAATTTTATTTACGTTTACAATAATTCATTTGATATGCATAAACATCGCTTCTAGACAAAGTTAAATAAATTCATTTGAATTGAATTGAATAATTTTCCTATCTGTACATTTCGTATTATACCGAAAATATTCTCAAGTTCCACGAAATAAATGACACAAAATCACGACACAAGTATATAATACTAGCTGTCGCCCGCGACTCCGTCGGTGTGGATATATAAAAAAAGTTAATATATAGGTAAGTTAAATAAAAAGCAGCTCTTCAAGGCATAAATTCGAAAAAACGGGAAAAAGAATAAATAGTATCCTATGTCTGTCTCCTGGCTCTAAGCTACCTCCTCACCAATTTTCAATCATATCAATAAAGCGTTTTTGAGTTATAAATAGTGTAACTAACACGATTTTCTTTTACATATATAGATTAGTTTCGAAGATTTCCTTGTGTTCAAAGGGACTAATACTTAAGTAAAAAATAAAAGAAGGAAGTAGTCTTCCAACAGAATGTTATAAACTCTTCAGTGAACTGACACTGGTATTAATATTTTACATGTCGCCATCCTTTTTACTCTCTTTGACAAAACAGAGACCACATTATATGTCAATACAGTACAATCGAAATCAACAGAAACAATGTCGCGCGCAAAAATCTGTCCGATCTCTTTGTCTAAAATGATGTAAGCCTGGATTAAAAAAAAATGACGGTTTATAAAAAAACTTGAACACATTCAAAAATGTGAGGATTAGCTACATAAAAAAAAACAATACTATAAAAGCAATCTTAACTTTGTTGTTTAACAAAGATTAACATCAACTTTTGCAGAGTCTTCGCTTTGTAACGTTTTGGATTTTATTTTAGTAAGGAAGTTTTATTAAAATGTATTCGATACCTAAAAATTCTTTATTAAATGTAAATGAAGATACACTTGTAAGCATTCGTAAGGAATACGATTTAGACAAACCAGGAAGAATGGACGAAGCTATAGATGTAATAGTCGAATGGCTGCAAAAACAGGACCATTTTGTTAAAAAAGAATTCCGTAAGAAATATTTTTTTATCTCATATTTTTACAAATCTATTGATCTTGTAACCAACCAACCCAACCCGCACACTCCCATCTATGGCCTGGCTTAGTCAGCCCCTTTGGGTAGGGACGTATACGACCTGACAAATATGAAAAAATAAAATGATTTTTGTTCATTCAATTAACGTAGTGTAGAAAGAAGAAAACTTTGATATTTGGGAACCTAACTTTCGTTTATTATTTTGTTTTTCATGCAAGTGGATTTTATATATGTACTAGCTGTTGGCCACGACTCCGCCCGCTTGAAATGACATAAAAAATTTAATTAGTTACCGACAATTATTCGAATTTTTCTCACCATTTAAACCATCCCTAGACCTTCACGAATATTTCAAGATAAGATAAATTCATTCAGCCGTTCCCGAGTTTTAGCAAGACTAATGAACAGCAATTGTATATATATATATATATATATATATATATATAGATGTAAGTTACATTGCGATCATATGCCTAATGGCTGACCCGATAATATCAAGTGAGTCTTTCGATTTTCATTCTTCCCCTGGGTATCATTAGACTACGCATGGGGTTCTATGAACTATTGATTTGACGAAAGACTTAGTTTTAATTTGCACCAAAACGATTACGCACACGACAATTAATCTTATAAATAATAATTTGTAGCCAGGGACTATTTGGAAAGAAAGATAATTTTCTCTAAAGGATCTGTTGAACGTGCTAAAGTAAAGTTGGACAGAAATTGCACATTGAAGACTTTATTGCCAACATTCTATACAAGAATTAACTTTAAACATGATTACAAAGAATCAAATACTATGTGAGTATTACATATAACTTATATTTATCAACACAACGAAAAAAAAAGTGTCAAGTACATGACCCTGTATTTAATTTTTAATCGAAATAGCTATTGAAGTTTGTACAACTTATTTTAACTAGTTTTAGACATTATTAGTGAGAATCTTATGGCGCGAATGGCGCGCTTTCGTCACCAAGTCAAGTGTCAGAATGATTACTGAGGGGACATTAACGTTGACATTTTAATAAGGCTAGTGTTGCGCCAGTACACCGGCACAGTGTCGCATTTTCTTCCTAATACTGGTTATTTTTCAGTATAGATGCAATATTACCAAAACTAACAGACGACAACTATAGATGTTATGCACTTAAGAGCATTGGCAAACGTTTTGATAATGGTTTCACAAACTACTTTCGCTTTTCTCTCTCCGTAAGTGTTTTTTGTTCTTATTTTATGACTTTTTTATCTTTTATTTCTTTACTAGCTGTCGCTCGCAAATCCGTTTGTGCCGAATTAAAAACAAACTTAATAAGTAGTCTATGTGATCCTCCAGACTATGTTCTATAATTATGACAAATTTCAGGGAGATGCAGTCGTTCTGGAGATATCTTCTGAAAACATCCATCCGAACTTTTTCATTTAGAACTTCTTTATTTATTTATTTACCATATTATTAATATAATACTTTTGAAATATAAACATTACAAAATATATTCTATTAAAAATAGAGCACCACCGGCTGCGGAGTCCCATGACAAAACAATCAGTGGTCAGGGCTGCAGGGACAGGAACCTTCTCGCGATGCGCGCGGTTTCGCGGTTTTGTATCGGGCCCTTAATCTAACTGTTTAGCATTTATAATATAAGTAAGAAGTCAGATTTTGCGCGTTTAAATTAAAATTGCCTACTTACCTGTGTAGATATCTAACCTTTGGATAGAATGTTTCATATAGACGTATAATCGAGAAATGATTTTCGAAATGTCATTTTATATTTTAGTTGACAACGCTAAGGAATTATATCCTATCTTAAGACCTCCGAATGCCTATATCTTGAGATTAGGTTAGGTTATCTATTGATTACATATGTAATTTTAGACATAACTAATTAGAATTCTTTGGCGCAAATGGCGTGCTTTTGTTACAAAGTCAAGTGTCAGAATGATTAGTGAGGGGACATTTTAGTAAGGCTAGTGTTGCGCCAGTACACTGTCACAGTGTCGGATTTTCTTCCTAACAGTAATAATAATTATTGTAAACATTGTATTTTCAGATGATCGAGTATATAGCAGCATACGATTACTGTAAAGGTTTAATAGCAATTTTAGATTACAGGGATACAAATTTAATGGAAATGATAAAGAAAATCGACATCACCGAACTACGGCAATTTATTACTTTATTAACAGTAAGTAATATTTTTGTAATTAATTTCAAAGACAGAAAATACACTTATAATAATATAATTACTTATAATGTTAACTAAAGCTGGAGATACTTCTCCAGCTTATTATCTGCATGTATTGTTTGTAACGAATAAACTCAAAAACTACTGGACTGATTTCAATTACGCAGGCTATGTCTACTATTGTGTTGAAATGTAAAAAAAAAATATTAAACGCAATACAGAAAAAAGTAGGTATTAAACTTGAACTATTAAAAGATTAGCTTAGCCTATAATAAATTAATGTAAAACACTCAGGAATATTGAAGTTTCTTTTTGCAATGATCCATCGTTTTAGTTACTTAGTACTTGTTCAAGTTGAACGTGCGGGTCCGAGCACGTTTCTTAGACCGCAAATGTGATGTCTACGTGAATACTTGACTAAAATATCATATGTTTGATGTTTCCGTCCTTCACCGCATCCTTGAGTCGACGTGAACAAGCATTTAGGGATTTCATTTTGTGTAATTAGTATAATAATCTTACTATTATTTGGATGGATGGATGTTTGTTTGAAGGTATATCCAGAACAGATGCATGGATGAAATATGGCATGGATGTAGATCATAGTCTGGAAGAACAAATAGGCTACTCACTAAGTTTTTTTTCACTCCATGCAGACGGAGTCGCCTTTGATATATAGTTCTACATAGAGGGTGTTTAAAAGTTGCAGAAGTTATATAATAAAACTTTTTTTAGGAAGGCTACGGTATGAAAATAAAGGGTATGCATATTATCCATACTTCTAAAGCGATAGATACATTGGTGACGATAGTAAAGCAATGTGTCAGCGCAAAGATAGGACAACGTATACAAGTGCACAAAGACATGGAATCTTTGCACAAATTCGTACAAAAAGATATTTTACCAAAAGAATTTGACGGGAACGAGAAATCACTGTTTGAACTACACGGTATGTAATATATTCTTGATACTTGATTTTTTAATAGTACTAAATAATTTAAAATATACAATGTAAATTATCTTGTTATTATTCCAACTAAGCTCTATGCTTCCGTTAAGATATGGTTCGTGACTTCGAATTCCGGGCCTATAGATCCGTACTTTTAATCATTAAACTATTCGTTGTTTGATCATGTTATAATATGATTTTCTTTGAATTATACATCTTCAGGATTTTTTTTGGTAAAAAGTTATACGTTGAGCCTACACTAAGTTAGGAGGGACTAGGTCGCGCACGAGAGCGAAAACGTGCCCGTGGCCCCGTCCCTATGCGTTGGAGGAACAGAGAGGTTTAGTGGGTATGCCTCCGTTATGTAGGAGAATCACACATAACTATCGCATCCCCCCGGGGTGCGGAGTATGCATAAAGCATTCCTCTCTGGAAAAAAAAAGGAGGGACTAGGTCAAAGTTATATTGTGATGTTTTAATAATATGCCTATAATTTCAGATGATTGGTTAAATGTTCTAAGCTCAGAAGAGTTTCAGGAATACTTTGAAAACATTAGAGAAGCCACCACAAATGAAATGTACAGACAAACAGACAAATTCAACAACGATTACATGGGCATGGCAGGAACATTCAGAACTTTTATTGTTGATTAAAATTGCTTTTAAATAACCGCTGAGAGGTTTTGTTAAATATAACTTTTGTTATCAATTTCTTTTTGGTTTTTTTTTATAAAATAAACGTAAATTTATATTAAAGAAAAAGATAAAGAAATATTTACTTTTTTTTATAAAGTGTGTAGATAACTATTTACCTTGATGTTGAACTATAAAACGTAATATATGTTATTAAAGTGTGCATCACATACATATTGTTATCCCGTTCTCTCTCTTATATAAAACAGAGATAACTATATGTATCTACAAAAGGTTATGATTACTGACATGTTGACCTTGACAACTGTAGTGCCCACAGAGGTCCAATCTATGTCATGGTTGTTAACACAACTTTTTACACTGCTTTCGATTTTGTGTTAATAATTATTAAATTTGATTTCATAGATGATTTATGTAATGACGTTTTAATATATTAAGCTTTTTATCTTTGAAATCTTTTAAGAAAATGTTTTATTAAAATCTGTCCTGGTGTTTTGTTGTAACATACATATATGTCTTACTATTTATTTCTTCAATAAATTATTAATAGAGAAGAATTATAGAACTGATATTTTGTTATTCGGCGAGAAAATTGTTACAATTTATTTACAAGATTATAAAATTAAAAATATACTTTGTATTATAATATAATAAAATTCGATATTTTTCTATTCATATATTAGTTAAAATTGAAGCAACTGCTATCTTCATATATATTTGTGTTATTAAACATATCAACAAACGTAGAAATATAAATATACAAGCGGACCCGACAGACGTTGTCCTGTCTACACGTCTTTAATTTGAATAAATTAATATGAAGTTAATATTTAATGAAAATTGTGAATCTAAACCATTCCCAGATCCCCTTGAACACACACAAAAAATTTCATCAAAATCGGTCCAGTCGTTTGAGAGAAGTTCAGTGACATACACACGCACAGAAGAGTTATATATATAAAGATATAAAGATAATGTGTTAGATAACCTCTTACAAAAATAATAACAAGCTCACGGAGAGATTCAAATACTATACTAAGTAGAGCGGACATTAGAAGAAATTTTATACAAATATTTTAAACATAATTATGTCATTGAATAGCCAAAAACGTATTCAATTAAGCTGTACCTGTAGAACAACTTTTTTAGAGTTCAATTATGTTCGTAAAGGTAAGATCAAACTAGGGACTTTACTTGTAACAGAACAACGAACCACATGTTTTGGAAACTATGATTTTATCTGTATTATATTATTGGTATACGTTTTATATAGAAATGCTTGAGAAAATGCTTTGGTGTATATTCACCTTAATGTCCTGTCTGTTGATATATCATTTTAAAAGTCTTTGCTGCCTAAGCTTCGAGGTTAGTAAGTTATAACGCGATAATGAAGGGCTATATGTTAGTATGTTTCTAATGTTTAATAGAATTAGTTGTGTCATAACTTTATTTATAATACAAAATAATTATTACATCGTTCCTGTTATTACCAAAAAAAAATAACTAGTTAATTCTACGATAATTATCACTCATTAAACTTTTTACTAGAATATCCAAGCAAATCAGGGTCGGATTTATAGTGGAAAAAAAATGGATTCAATACCGAAAAATGAAATTTTATCTTTCCATCAAGATACTCTTGTAAGTATACGCAAGGAATATGATTTAGATATACCGGGAAGAATGGATGAATCTATCGATGTTTTAATTGATTGGCTTAAGAAACAGGAACATTTCATAAAGAAAGATTTTGGTAAGTGAATTTGGACTTTCTAGCCCAATCAAGAATAAAATATTTAATCACTTTTTATGTTTTAATTTTAATTTTCCGTGGGTCCAGTCATTTTAAGCTCAATTCACACGAACAGTTAAACTGTTCAGTTAAAACTAAACGTTTGAAGCAGGTTTATTTTATAAAAGATCAGTCTAGTAAGTACCTTTGACCTTCTAGAAATTGTACAAAAAGTCCCTGGTAAAATTCTGGTCTTATCAAATCTCATGGTAGCGTTGCGAGATATTCAAGGTCAAACTGTCGATAAAAATAACAGTTGGTCCGTGTTGTATATTTCAATTAGACCTGTAACCTAAACAACTAGACCGATTTCCACATGTAAGGTATCAATCGAATCGTATTTTTCCTAGGTGTATTCTATAATAAAGTCAGACTGTATCTCTTTAACCTTTTACTCGTTTAATGAAGACTAAATTTTTAAAAACACAATACTAGCGCTGTTGTACTTGTTTATTTTCTGATATTTCCTTGTTATGTTATTTTTCAGATAGAGACTATCTAGAAAGATTGATTATTTTCGGTAAAGGGTCTGTGGAGCGTACAAAAACAAATTTGGACAGATCTTGTACGTTGAGATCTTTGTTACCGAACTTATACAAAAGTATTGATTTTAAGCGTGATTATAAAGATTCTAATATTCTGTAAGTATTTATAATCTTACCTAATAAAGTATATAAAGTAAAACATTCGTCAAAAAAAAATATGAATGGAAACTAAATAAAAACGGTTACACACAAGTACATTCAATTCGGTGTCGGGTCTGACCAGTAAACCTAATCGGAGGTTCCTCTTCAAGGTGAGCAGGACTGGGTTATTCTGCGGTCGCGGTCTATCTCTTACTGATTGTAGTCGTTTTTTATTTAGTTTATAATAATTAAATTATAATAATAACGAAAAATTAATAATTTTATTTTTTATAATAAAAAATACACTTTTAAGCCAATGTTTTTGTTGTGTAATAAATCTAATAAAAATATCATTTGTTTTCTATACATATATGGATATTCCACATATGTAAGTACATAACCAGTTGGTACCTACGTGTAGTTACCAACGGGTTATGTAAATAAGCCTCTTGTGGTTTTCATTCTAGATTAACTACAAAATATGTTTAATCATATCATACTTATATGTATATTTTATTTAAGGACAAGATTTTTTTTTATTATTAGCGTTCGTATAATGTTAATATCATTAAGATACAAACTGTTTTAATGATATAAAATTCTAAAATTAAATCTTCATTTTTAATTGTATTAATTTTCATCTATTTTTTTATTTCAGAATCGACGGTGTTATGCCCAAACTCACTGAGGACCACTACAGAACATATGTATTGAGAAACGTCGGCAAACGATTTGATAATGGCTTCACAAACTACTTTCGATTTGCAATAACAGTAAATAACCATTTGTTTAATACTTATTAGAGCGTCGGTGACTCAGGGGTTAAACACTTGACTTGCAATCTACAGGCCATGGGTTCGAATCCCGCCATGTACCAATGTGTTTTTCGATTTCAAATTTACATATGTACATTTATCTGTCGTTCTTACGGTGAAGGAAAACATCGTGATGCAACCTGCACATATCTGAGAAGAAATTCAAAGATATATGTGAAGTCATCAACCCGCACTGGGCCAGCGTTGTTGACTATGGCCTAATCACTTAAGGTAGGCTAAGAGCCCCTCGGTGGGAATGTACAGTGAGCTGATGATGATTAATACTTGTACTTATTAATTTTTAGTATTTATATATATTACTGGTAGTAAAAAACAAACGTAATAATTTTAAACAAAAACCCGCGAAAACAAGAAACAACTTCGAACTTGAAGGTCATTGATCGTTATTATTTAACTCCCTCTGCTGTCCAAAGCAACTATGGTTACGATCACACGTGCAGTAAACGTCACATCCGGATGTATAAAAAGATTTATTAATTTATGGATGATGTTTACATAAAAAAAAACTTAACAATGAACTATTTATTCTAAAGAGCCTGTTAGTGTTTTAATTAACCGTAATTATAGAGTTAAAGGCGCTAAGAGAATAGCAAAAACTATGATATCATTGTTTGTAACACGCTAATACAATGATACCAACTTATAATAACTTTTCCATAGTTATTACAAGTCGTCGGTTTAAAATTAAAGGCCACATACGTATATTTACGTTTACGTTAAAAAGGTATGCCCTTCCATTTTGCCCGAGTTTAAAAAAAAACGATAATTTTTCACTGCTTATGACTAAAGGTATAAGATTTGTCAACTTGTTTGCTCTAATTGTAAGTGCATTTTGTAAAATTATATCTTTAAATTGTTATCCAGCAAAATTGATTCTAAACATTCGATAATCTCCTTCCTAGCCTTATCCCAGTCATGTGGGGTTAGCTCGCAAGGTTTTTATTAGGTTTTTGTTTATTTTTTACGGCCGGCCGAGGGCCTGACGCCAACTCTACTTGGCAGGAATATTAGATTCAATATAAAATAACTTCTAAAAATATTTGCAGCCAAAGAATAATCTTGAAGATTCATTCCGATTTCCACTTGGGCATTTAATATGTGGCTTCCTGAAACCCTTTAGAATTATTAATATTTGTTTAATTTTCAGTTGGCTGAATATTTACAACGATATGATTATTGCAAAGGATTTATAATAGTTGTTGATTATAGAGAAACTAATATTTTAGAACTTATAAAGAGTCTGGATATGGTCGAGATGAATCAAGTATTTAATATTATAACAGTAAGTCAATACAATAACTTAATGCCAGTATCTTCGGCACCTTGCCTAAAAGGACTCCTTTTAATAACATATTTTAGTGAATTATTCGTTTTTTTTAATATTTTATTTTATATCGTAGATTTAAGACTATATGTTATTATAGAAATAAGGATGAATAATAAATTAATTTATAACTCAATAATACTAAAAGTCATTCCGGCTTCGTCCGTGTAGAGTTAAATAAATTCCAGCTAGATCCCTTCACGCGTTTGTGAGAAAAAGAGTCTTGATAGACAGACGGACGGACAACAATGTGATCTTATAAGAGTTCCGTTTTTTTCCCTATGAGGTACAGATCACTAAAAACTAAGTTTATACGCTATTTTAGTAATCATATCTCTGTAACAAATTTCATCCTAATTTGTTCAAAATTGGGGGATGATCGAATGTACAAAATGGGATGAAATGTACAAGTAATATCCACATATTAAATAATTCGCATTTATACTGTTTCTATATTAAGTATTAAATATTACTAGTAACAAAGTCTAGATAGAGTAAGGGCAAATTGTTAAAAATTTAAATGCGACAAATATTTATAAGGTGACGTAAAAATTGTTGAAATCCATTTTTTTCAGAAAGGTTTCGGTATGAGAGTAAAAGGTATACATATACTTTCTCATTCAAAATCTGTAGAAACGGTAGTCTCAATGCTGAAACAGATTTTTAGCAAGAAGATTGGTGAGCGCATTCAAGTACACAATAATGTGGAATCTTTACACAAGTTTGTAGACAAAGATATTTTACCTCCCGAACTTGGAGGAAATGAAAAATCTTTGGTTGAAATTCATGGTAAGATACCACGCTTCATGATTTAAAATAATATGTCATAATATGTAGTCCTGTGTCAATACCAAAAATACGTCAAATCGTTTGTCCTCGACCTCGGATCCTTTAAGAAGCGAGCGTACCATTTCCTTAAAGGTCGGCAACGCATCTGCAGTTACTCCGATGTTACAGATGTCCATGATTCGTCGATCACCTCGGTGTTCTCGCCAGTCGTTTGCCCCCGTCTCTTATAAAAAACAATAGCGAAAAACAGCTATTTAGTTACCATAAGCCTACCAAAATAACTATAAATAATTTTATCCTTTCTCTCAGAATTTTCGGAGAATGTACTTATTGTAAGCAGAAAATATTTTTGTACAAATTTTAAGGTTACGAAAGATTATGGTTACACAGAATTCCAAACTAAAATTACAAAATGATTGCGTTGTTTTTATTTTCAGATAAATGGATAAACGTTTTGAGCTCCAAAGAGTTTCAAGAGTATTACCAGACAATCAAACAAGCAGTTACAAATGAGAATTACAGACCTACTGACAAATTTAATGAAGAATATATGGGAACAGCTGGAACATTCAGAACTTTAAGTTTAGATTAAAGCTAGATTTTTATTTAGACAACTAAATTATAACAAAAAGTGTAGATACTAATAAATAATTTCAATTACATCGATGCATATTTTTATGATTGGTATATGTATATAAAAAAAACATATTTCGAACATAATGTCTTAGCTGTGCTGGTAACGAAAATAAAATTATCAAATTTTCTGTCTGTCTGTCTGTCAATTTGTTCGCAAGTCAGCGTTTATTTCAAATAATCTCCGAAATGGCTGGACCGATTTTTTTTATTCTGCGCCGACGAATATGTTATGTGGGGTTAGTTGATTTGTTTATAAATGAAATTAAGTGTTTTACGGAAATAAAAACGTATGTAAATTAACATCAACTAGTAAGCTCTACATATTAAATCTCAATATGACTATGATGAATAGAAGTACTAATAAAAGTACTAAACATCAAATAGGTTATTCAAAGATGCCTGCACTTCTAAAGTAGGGAACGATTAAAAAAAATTCTACTAAGGTCAAAAAATATTTTTTTTAATTTATTAAATAGTGACATCTATGTTAAGTCTTTGGAACTAAAACAGTTATATTACACAGCGCATTTGCCTAAGATCTAGCCGCGCGATTGTGAGCGTGCGCAACCGTCATTTTAAATGGTACAAAAATTCAAACAAGAAAATTGTACAGGTAGAATAGACTAAAAATAAGTAAAACATTTAACTCGTGTATTTCTCGTGCCCAGAGTGCCTAGCATGATTATGCGATATGCGCTTTCTGAACGTTTTCGAAAATAAGATGTTAAAACTAGCTGTCGCCCGCGACTCCGTCTAATTATGTTCTATGTCTATGCTAAATTTCAGCCGGATAGTAAGATTTGTATAAGATTTGTTAGCATACTACACTCGGTAGGGCTGTGCAAATTTTAATAAAAATTATTTCGATTACGTTACGTAAACGTTTGAATGAGTATTCGTGCTAGGACCTCTTTACCAATTTCATAATTGGAAAAGTTATTGACGGTTCATATCATTGACATTGGGAAGTTCTGAGTTTATGAATCATTTCATTTTTATGATTGCTTTGTCCACTTGCTTGGCTCAGATAAAGTTTAAAAGTCGTTAACCTTGGGCTTGTAAACCGTTGCATGGTTTTTAAATAAACCAATATTTTGGTGAGTTGTAAATTAATTTTTATGATCAAAATTTTGTTATTGTTAAGCTCTTTACCAAACTTCAACATATTTCAATTATTCGTTTATTAATAAAGAAAAAAAAACAATAACTTATTGATTTTATTAACATCATTTATTTTGTGTAATTAAAAAAAACGTACAATCTTTAATTCCTACCCCTCGCTTAATATCTTTTTAAAATCCTATTAAATTAAATCATCATTAAATTAAAAAAATATTATATTAGATTCGACAATTGTGAATACTAGCAACGTAAAAATGACGAAATATTTATTGATCGTTTAAAAATGCAAAAATTACAATAATTATAAAACACAATATTAAATTGAAATGCAATGGTAACACGTGTAAGCAAAGCCTTTTGAGTTAAAACAGAAAAACGATAAGAACTATAATTCAACGATCAATTAAAAAATTTGATTATATACGTACATAATAAACTGGTATTTAATTAAATTTCGTAATAAAAAGTATAAACAAGCCTTGGTATAATTTCAATTATTTTTAATGTGAACTGGTTGAAAATATGAAATATTCTATATTAAAAAAAAACAGTAAGACAAGAATGCGCTGAATACTAACTGGTTATCGAAATTACTCAATCGCGAGTTAACTTCAGTTTTAATCAATTCTCCCTTAACGACGGACCTGTGTATATTTAATACGAAGATGGATTCCATTCCTAAAAATTCACTGTTACAATTCAATCCAGACACTCTTGAATATGTACGTAAGAAATGTAATTTACATCAGCCCGGTCGAATGCAAGAAGCAATTAAAATATTGGACGAGTGGACGAAAAAGCAGGCACATTTTAAAAACAAAAAATTTGGTAAATATTGTAATGTTTTTTATTATTAAATATCGAAACAAAGATATAATCAATTTTATTTTCTATAGTACTGTTAAATAAAATCATATATAAACGGCTAAAACACGCATGTATTATTCTGGTGTCGGCACCAACTTGTTTCGAGCCCATCGGGGGCCTTTCATCAGGTTGATATTTATATATTACGAAAATGTCTCACAAAAGTTTGAATTTATATTCATCATTCAAATATTGAATAACTTAAAGTGAACTTGACTTAAATATTACAACGCATTTTCAGTGTAATTTTGTCGTATATCGAAATAACGAATACGAGTTTTTCATTGAAAATTATTTCTTTTTTTTCGCATTTTAGTAAAGTTAAAGCAATTCAATGCGTCTCTAAATTCGATGTCGAAACTATGCCGAAGGCTTTCTTCATTTATCACGTCACATCACCACTGTCACGTACATACGTAGAGAGGTAACTAAAACATCATCAAGTTTTCTTAAAACTTTTATCTCTTTTAAATTCATTATAATTTAATCAAAATAAACATTTATTATTGAACTCAATCTTTAAAAAAAAAAGTTTTGATTTTTTTTAATGTCAAGTAAATTTCCGACATGAACCCAACCACTTCAACTAATTACTTACCAAAACCTAAAATACTCACGGTATTGGTACTTAGTAATTTAAGTAAATCCATTTCGTAGCGTTTTAATTCGTATGCTAAATATTCCAAACTTTTTACATCGAGAGGATGTTATTTCGTTGATGTCTTTTTCAAGGCCATATTAGTGTACTTGGCTCATGTTTATAACATTTATATACCTTAATTACTGTAATTAAAATTACTGTAATAAAATGTAAACATTATATGTATGTTATCCTCTAGTTGTAGTTCACTGTATAATATTATTTATCTACTCTGACTGAGGACGAAAACCATTAAATAAATCCATTCGGTCATCAGCTAATACATATAACTTAAGGGCTGATTAAACCTGAGTCAACCACGCTGAAAAAAAATGTTCAGATTTCCTCACTATGTACTATCACAGATATGAACATCTTACAAATATTATAAATGAGAATTTGTGAATGGTAGGATGGATGGATGGAACATTGATGGATATCAATGTTTGTTTGAACGTATCTCCAGAACGGCTGCAGGGGTTGCGGTGAAATTTGGGTTAGAATATAGCCTGGAAAAACACTAATTAAGTTCTTTTTAATTCCGCGCAAATGGTGTATCGGACGACTGGTTACGAATGAATTTACTTATATAAGATAAATGTCATATATTATTTCAGATCCACATTATTTGGAGACCACAATCATCGCCTGCAAGGGGTCTATGGAAAGATCTAAAGCGCAAATTGACAGCATCTGCACATTTAGAACGTTAATGCCGACATTCTTTAGAAGGCTTAACGTGAAACATGATCTTGGAAATCTTTATGATATTGTGTAAGCAAAATATTACATACATTTATTTGTTCAAAAATATATTATATATTTTTGAACAAATAAAATAAGTTATTTAAGCTGTACATATATGTTGAGGCTGTCAATATGTAACATATTATTTACATACCAATTATCTGCTTCTTATGTTTGCGTAATTGATAGTTATTTATTATTTTTCCATCATTTATATAATCATTTTTGTACAATAAAACCTGATGGAACGTCTGTTGTTAAAGGCTAGATCCGTGAAGTAAGTTTCACATACAAACGTATTATATAAATAGTCTGTTTTTTTTAATAAGTAGCTAGTCCTACTCCTCTTTCTATCCTCTTCTTATTAGAAGGGAAAAGAATTAGATTGGAAAGAAGACGGATAAGAAAACAAAATATACACACATGTTATAACTGCAACTTAGTTTGTTGAATTATAGTAATATAATAATTATAAATGTAATAATTATAATAGTGGTAATGATTATTAAAAATAATATTTTACTAACGTTATTTGCAAATGCTTGGATGGATGGATAAATGTTAGAACGTATCTCCAGAACAACTGCAAGCAACACGCTGAAATTTGGCATATATATGCAACATAGTCTGTAAGAATACATAGAATACTAATCTTATATATAAATATATATATATATATATGTATATAAAACGTCTTGACTGATTCTCATGAAATTATGTGAGCATATTGAGCAGGTCTGAGAATCGGCCAACATCTACTTGTAATCCCGCGCGGACGGAGACGCGGGCCACAGGTAGTTTTTGACAATTAACATTAATTACAGACGGCCAGTTATATTACCGAAGATGACGCCTGATCACCATCGGGTGTTTATGGTCAAATTAAACGGAGCAGCGTTTGAGGCATCACAGTTTATGGATTATTATAATTTTTGTATTATTGTAAGTATTCGGCTTTTATATTCTAATATGCATATCTGTGCCGGAGATAGATTAGCTGCTGTCGCGCACAAAAATACCTACAAGTTGGCTTACAAATAAATTTCTCGTTTGTCAACTTTCAACTTTAATATTCTTTTTATAGTACGACAGTTATGAATTCGGACTTTAACATTACGGTTAAAATAAACCATTAGTTAATAACTGTACGTAATTTTAGACATTATTAGTCAGAATCCCCCGGCGCTAACGGCGCACCCTCGCCGCAAAGTCGAGTCGGAACGATCAGTGAGGTGACGCAAACGTCGACTCCCTAGTAAGGCTAGTGCTGCTCCAGCACACCGGCACAATGTAGGAACCCCGTCCTAACAGTTAATAATTAAATATGTAATAATCTTGTGTTTATTTCAGATAGCAGAATATTTAAAGGTGCACGATTATTTAAATGGCTTCCTAGTATTTACAGACTTCAATGAAATTAATTTAATGGATTTTGTTACTAAATTAAATCCCATTGAACTTCGCCAAGCATTAACTATATACATGGTGAGGATATAGCATATTTTAATTATTATAATAGTATTTTATTTAAGTTGATACAAAGAGACAAATTATTACTTTGATTATGTATTTGTTTTCTTTCTATTTATTATATGACTTTATTCTTGAATTTAGCTATTTAATAAATGGATTCCTTATTTTCTGTACCGGAATTAAAATGAATGAATCCACAGCTGGAAATTATGCCATTTTTCCTCATAATTTATATACTATCTTTTATAAATTACTTTCTTAAGAAGTTTTGAGTAATATAGTTGTTACGACTATAGTCTACAGAATACTTTGTGTGTAACATTTCATTATTTGTGTATCTTAGTATATTTAGTGCTACTGTCACTCTTTATCAACTATTTAGTTTCTATGATTTTTGATGTTTATGTTTTTTTTTACAGCAAGGATTTGGTATGAGATTAAAAGGTATTCATATCTTGAGTTCGTCAAAATTAATTGATGTTTTAATAACGATATTAAAGCAGATCTTAAGTGAAAAGTTGATTAAACGCATTTGCGTACATAAAACTATGGATACCGTATACGAACATATACCAAAGAATATTTTACCCTCCGAATTTGGTGGAGAAGGAGGAAGCGTTAAGGAAATTCATGGTGGGTAACCTTATAATAGTGCATAGAGTAAAAATAACTAAAATAACTACGAGACTTTCTACCCGAATAAATATAAAAACTGTTTTACACAGTACTTCTAAGTTAAATTCTTTCAAGATGTCCCTTTTCAACATTATTTTCATCTGTTTTCAAAGACCGCGTTTTATCAAATAATAAATATCAAAAGTAAAATTTAAAAATTTGCTATTATATTTCCGAAGGCGTTTTAAAAAGTTACAAGAAAAACTTTTTTATTTTGCAGAATCATGGGTTGAGCTACTTAGCACTGATGAGCATCTTGCATATTTAGATGGTCAGCGTGAAACAAGAACAGATGAGGCTCTCCGACAGTCACAAGTTTTTAATGAACAATACGCTGGAATGCCAGGAACGTTTAGAACACTTACAGTAGACTAAATATAAAAATAGGTTGTTTCAAAAGCATGTAAACACAAGCATTACTTAACGTTTAGGTTTTTACACTATTTTATAATTTCATCTCGGTTATTATGTTTGGCTGAAATGTGTAACAAATTGAAGTAAATTTTTACAATAACGACAACTAATTTTAATGTGGGATCTGTGGTTAAAATATCTGCTAAAATATGTTTTCCGTTTATTTAAAAAAAAAGAATGAGGAGTATTAAAGATTTAAACTAAGTATTTACGCTACCTGCAAAGCGTATACATTTTGTAAAACTATAGGGTTCTATTGGAAATGGTGCATTGAAGAGATTATTATTTAAATTATACTTTAGTATACAACCTATCAAATTATATCGAATATTAAATAAAGAAATTAAATAAACTCCTTGTTTGCTCCTTTTATTTCACTTACAATATTTTTTACTTATCAAGATTGATGAGAAGATAAGCTTAATTAAACTACAAAACAAATCAATTTGCTTCTAAAGATCATATAAAACAACGATTAGGTTAGTCGTAAATTAGAATAGACAAACCTTCCAGAAAATGGCAAATATTTGAATGTACTATTTGCTATTCTTTTATATCAGGCAACGATCTCACATACAGCGAGGATAACAATTTACTCGGAACGTAGATAGTAGATTTCCAGACGTACAAAAAAGTGCGATACTTTATTGCAAACTATAGTTTGCAAACAAACTTTATCAAGCATCTGTCCATGCGAGTTTACCAGTATTTTTTATATCGCTCTTGGTAATATGTTCAAATTATCACGCTTTGGGACAGTAAATCTTTTAGTTTAACACAGCAGCTCAAAGTTATAACAAATTTATTTCTTAGTCGTCCTGTTAGGCTCTTTGTACACAAACAAACTTCGAAACCCGGTGATTTAAGTCGCTTCGACTTACGCAATTCAATGCCATAGAGCAGTCTTTCCCAAAGTGGGCGATAAAGCTCCCTTGTGGGCACTGCAGGTCTCAAGTTGCGGGTTATAGTAAAAGTTTCGTTTAGAATTCTCCGTTAATTTACATATATAGGTCGCAATAAATAATTAATTTAATTTGAAGTTATAGTGGTTTTTAAATATGTGAAAATGTGGGCAGTAGACAAAATAAGGTTGGGACCCACTGCCGTAGAGGGTCATTCGTTGGACTTCGACAATCTGTCAGTCGCTCGCAACCTGTTTGTCAAAATCTTGGTGAGAAAAGTCGCTGCATTTGTCAAGATGGTAGAGTAACTGCCGGAGACTGAAAAGACGACGAAGACGAATCGCGTTGACGATTCAACGTTGTGTGTCACGACGCAAGCATACCATGTTAGTGTCGAAAATTTACGTTGCCTTGTGTACGAAGAACCTTAATAGAAGACGTGAGTAGGAGTTTTTTGTTAATGTAAGTATTGATTTTATTAGAAGAAAAATAAACTGAACTTATGTGATATTTTAAAAAATACTTGACAATTTTATTTATTTTAAAACTTTCCTGAAAAATGCTTGTTTTAAATCATAGTATTATAAATCTAAAACAATTTAACCAACATAAGAGTACAATAGGGTTTAACAGTTTCAGTGTACGATGACATACACGTGAATAAATAAATAATATAAAAATTAACATAAATCTTTTAGAGAAACTCGTCTGTTTATCAGAATAATTAAAACGTTAACAATTAACGATAAAATTTAATTTGATTAAACTTACAATGTAATTTTGTTAATATTTCGTTTTGTGAATATTCCTAAATATTTTCAACAATTGTTTGAAACATTGCATTGACGTAGGAATGTTCTTATCATATTTAATTTTACACAAGCTAACGATTTAATATTTTAACAAGGTAAAATTTCTCAAAAGGTAAATTTTTTTTAAGTTCCAAAGGGAATAAAAACGATCAATGTGATTCTTTATTTTACAGATTTTTTTATTTCTTTTTTCATTTTTAGAATAAAAAATACAGTGCCTATTAGTTTTGTTGCATATAATTAAAATTACAATACGTAAAATTGCTCTAAACAGAAATATTAACAATGGTAGAGCCCGCTTTAAGATCTTCGCACGAATTGTCCCGGCTCGCCCGGTAAAATACCACGACCACACAGAAGACAGGCGTCAAGTGGAAGCAATTCCGCGTTACCTCTGATGAGTGTGCGTCCCGGAGGCCTTATTTAGTCCTCTTTTTCTTCCCACCCTTTTTCTTATAAGGAAAGGATGGGAAGTGGAAGTGGACTTTCCGGATGAGAGGATGCATGGAAAGGGAAAATATTTACTCTCTGTGCATAGTCTCCTCCGTCGATTAAAGGTAGGCAACGCATATGCAATTGCGTATGGCTATGGGCAACGATCACTTCGCTATTTCAGCGATTTCAGGTGGCCGCTCGCTCGTTTGCCACCTTATGATATATATGTGTATATATATATATATTATTGTATGTGGGTTCGTTTGAAAGGAGAGACACAATATTACAAGGGGCTTTGCTGGCTCGTTAGCTTCTTTTTTTAAAGGTGCAATTTCTAATCGATAGCCCGATCGTAATATAGTCCATAGGAAGTCCTCGCGTACTGTCTGATGAAATCGGTTGTACTGTTTTCAAAAGCATGAAAATCTCTCGCACCTTGCATGCGGATACTAAAGATTAATGAAACTGCGCCCTAAAATTATATTTTATATTGTTTTAACGTTTTCCTTTAAATACACTTTATGTTTGGACGTTTCAGTGAGAACTTTAACAATGAACAATGGATATTTGCAACGTGGTAGATTAACAATCAGTCTCACATTGGGCACGTTTTTGAATTTTGCATATTAAATATGGAATATTAAGTTAAATATTTTTAATTTAAATAGTACTAATTGGTGAAAGACATGAATTTAAGTTTGGTAAAAGGACAATGACCTCTCTACTAAATTGTTTCATCTTTCAATGACATTAACATCAATTTTTTTTTATATCACAAGGAGGAAAACGAGCGAGCGGCCACTTGAAATCGCTGAAATAGCGAAGTGACCGTTGCCCATAGACATACGCATTTGCATATGCCTTGCCTACCTTAAATCGACGGAGGAGAGGATGCACAGAAAGAAGATATCTTTCCTTTTCATGCATCCTCTTATCCGGAAAGTCCATTTCCACTTCCTTCCTTATAAGAAAAAGGGTGGGAAGGGAAAGAGGACTAAATTAGGGCCCCGGGACGCACACTCATCAGACGAAACGCGGAATTGCTTCCACATCACGCCTGTCTTCTGTGTGGTCGTGGTATTTCACCGGGCGAGCCTATCATTTTTTTATATCTATTAAAGAAATATTTATTAATAATTGGCACATATTCACAAATATTTTTTTTCGATGACCTGATAAAATGAAACAGAGACATTTATTTATTTTTTTACAAAATTTGAATAAATAAGTTGAGACGTCATTAAATTATAAAAAAAAAAGCTTTGAAGATAAATGATTCATAAATCCTGCTATTGTATTCAAATAGGAAAATGCTTACAACAAAACAATATAACTTATAATTAAAACATTATATATAATGAATTGCTATGAAATATTTGCGTTTCGGAAATATTGTATATATTATACTAATTACTAATATTAAAATGCGAATGTCCCGATGTATGGATGGATGGGTGTTTAGAAGGTATTTCCAGAACAGCTGCATGGATCTCACTGAAATTTGGCACAGATGTGGAACACAGCCTGGAAGAATACATAGGCTATTTAAAAAGTTTTTTTTAATGCCGCGTGAACGGAGTTAAGGGCGACAACTAGTTTTACTATAAAATATTCGCATTCCAAAAATAATATTGTTAATATAATTATAACCAATCGATCTTTTGCCGGAAGTTCATGAATATTAAATTTCTTAATGTTCAGATTGACATTGGCCGCATGTTATGCATGTGTTTATATAAGACATTATGTCAGAGTCAAGCCTTTAATATACGTCATTTAAGTAATATAATCATCAAAGTCAACGTACGTATACCGAAAAATATTTTTCATCAACTAACATCCGTTTTTGATAACTTAACAAAAGTACTGACACCAATAAACCGTGTTACAATAAAAAAAATGAACTGACTAATCCGATTGGTTTTTGTTTTCCATATCGACTTATCAGTTGTCAACAGAAAGCTTAACTGATTTGGCTGACAATTTTTCAGAGAAGTAGCTTAGAACCAAACTATTCATCTTACTTCTTACTAATATAAACGCGAATGTTGAGATGGATGGTTGAAGTTTGGCATACAAATAGAATGTAGTCTTTAGGAACACATAAGCTACTAATTACGTTTTTTTAATTCGGCGCGGACGGAGTCACGGGTGACAACTAGTTTAATATAAAATTAAGCTATCCTAGTCATATTAGCCTGAACATTTTAATTATTTCCTTCAAAAATAAATCCATCTAACTAATATTTTGAAGGTGAATGTTATGATGGAAATGTTAGAAGGTATCTACGGAACCGTTCATCGAATCTTGATGAAATTTGGTTCAGATGTAGAATATATTCTGGAAGAACACATAGGCTACTCATTTTTTTTATTCCATGCAGATGGAGTCCTAGACGACAGCTAGTTTTTTTTATAAAACTAAATGTTGTGATTTTTTTAATATTTCCGATGTATGTTTACATTTGAAAATGTCCTTGTCCACTATTTTATATTCGTCGAATAAATAACAACGTTACCTTTGATAGGGGTCATCGGAGTTTTAAATTATATTTTAAATACAACTTCCGTGTTTCAAACTTCTGAGCATCATCAAAATAGATTTCATAGTACAAGATCTGTATAAATATGAATAGTTTAAATATCAAACGTTTTGGTTCAACGATACGCAAAAGAAATAAACTCAAATTGTTCAAACATATAAAACTTCTATCACAACTGATTGCTTTTGAGTAAAGAAAAAAAATGTAAAAACACCATTATCTGTTACAATTCACATCCTGATCAAACATATTGTTATCCCTCTCATTGTCCTTAAAAAGACAGAGATAACAGAATGTTGTACAGGGTGTTACAATTACACGTAATCAATAATCACCAATTAACATCCTCGCAACTTTTCAACCAAATTTAACTCCTGACCTTGCAATGAATTCGACTGTATTTAATATTTTTAAAACCTATATTTAAGAGTACGTTGTATTGCAAAACACACGTAATTATTTTAAAAATAATCTTGAGACGTAATTATTTCTGTACAATTATTCGAAAACAAAGTATTTTTAGTCTTTGTTTTAAAGTTGGCAAAAATATTATTTATTGCATTATTCATTGCAAATATTAATTTGCAGCTTCGTTTATATTGTTCGTGGGAATCATCGCTTTGTT